TTGCTGCGGCGCCCGGGGAGCAGTTGGGGGTTCAGTGCCTTGCTCAAGGGCACCTCAGTCGTGGTATTGAAGGTGGGAGAGAGCGCTGTACATTCACTCCCCCCACCTACAATCCCTGCCGGTACGAGACTCAAACCCGCAACCTTTGGGTTACGAGTCTGAGTCTCTAACCATTAGGCCACGACCTTTCCCCAGGCCTACACAACACATTCACAAAGCTTTTTGAATCGAGACTCAGGAGAATGACTGCTGTAGTCAAATACATTATAAGACGTTTCTTACATTTACAGAATAAAAGAAATGACAGTAGCAGGTACTGTGTTCAGAGTGAACGTGTGTGTGTTCCTGCAGAACATTCCTCTTATCTGTTAACAATGAGTTTGTTTTTCTTTAGTGCTTTATCTTCATCATTATTATTTTCATTTTTAATATAGGTAAATAAACTATCCTTTGTCCATTTAAACTATGCTTTATAATTATTCTACACATAATGTATAGCATAGAGATATATTCACCATACAGTATGTTTTCATAGCATTCAGTTAGCACATTTGTTTGAAGGACCATAGAGATATATTCACCATACAGTATGTTTTCATAGCATTCACTGGCATGTTTGTTTGAAGGACAGCATTGGGCAGTATGTAGAATAGTGTTTTGTCAATAAAAAAAAAAGAGCCTTTTTAACCTGTGACGGATCGGCTGCCTCCCCCTAATTATCATCATCACCCCGTCCCTTAATCGCCGCCCTTCACGAGGCTCCTGACAGGAGTGGGTGTGTGAGAGAGGAGGGGTGCAGAAACAGCCAAGTGAATGGAGCCTCGTCACCGCCGCTGTTAAAAGCCAAGCGCCTCTCCTCGAGAGACCGGTCTCTTCCCCCTTTGCATGCATGCTGGTGTCCTTGTGGGTCCAGGAGGGGAGCATAGAGGGAGTCCTGCGCAGCCAGAGACGCGAGCTGCCGGACCCGCTGTCCGGAATGGAATCACACCCGTGACGCGGTCGACGGGCCAGGATGCCGGGCCTTTATTCTCCTCAAGCGCCGCGGGCCAGAGAAGATGAGCTGCTGTGACGAAGCCGCCGCCCCTCGCGCCCCGGACCAGAGAGGGGAGCGCGTGTGTCTGCCGGACTCCGCCCCCTACCTGGACCCCTCCTTTCTGAACACTGCCCTTCCTTCACAGTTCCCCGGCACAACGAGGGCACCAGATCCCCTGTTTATTTTGGATACTATTTTCCCTCAGAACACGTTATTCCCTGTTTTGGACATTTTATGTTCATTTTCTCTTAAATAAAAGCCTCTCCGAGGCCTGACGCCACACCCACTGTGTCTGTCGTTTGCTCCTCCCGACACAAACCGATTAATCGGAAAAAAATAATCAGCCAACTAATCGATTATCAAAGTAATCGTAAGTTGCAGCCCTAGTCAGAAAAAACCTCCTGCGTGGTTGGGAAGTTAGATGGGCAATTTTGAGCAGTACTGATCTATCTGGCGAGACATAAGCTAGCATACACTTGCTGCATGTCTCATAAAACATTCAAAAATGTCAACATCTTGGAGTAAGAGAAGAGCAGACATATGGATAAATTTGAAAAGCTTGAAGACGCAAAAAATAACTCAATTCGGTCCGGTTTTCACACACCCAAAACACGCACACAGAAAAGAGCCTCTCAGTGGGGATGGGCGTATCGATCCTGAAGTGTCGATATAGCGATACTGATTGCCAGGGGCGCCACTAGGGGGGCGGGAGTTATGACGATTCTAAGGCCCACGCACTTTTGGGGCCCCCAGAGATCTGTTTTATTAGTAGTAACAGTAGTAGTAATGTAATAGAAATTATAAATATATCTACCAAAGAGTTACAAATAAAACAAAATTACGGCTTATTTCTGCATTTCCAGCAAAATTATCTCCCCCCATTCACTGCATGGTTTCGTCCCATCCTACGTAGCCTAGAGTCACGAGTGAGATCAGATGGTAAACTGTCAAATTAGAATAGAAATGTCTTAGAGTTCAAGGGGGGCAAACCGAGCTAGACGATTTGGTCAGTCGCACTTTTAAACACATTTTAGTTTTGCTATATAAAATCTACAAATTCATACTCTGATTACATAGAGCAGCAGCAGGAAGCGCGTGAGGTTGTCATAGCAAC